CCTTTTTTTTAAAATTACATCTGCAAGGTCAGTAGCTCCAACAAGTTAGAAAAAGATGGGACAAAATTGAGAAAACAAAAAATACATTACGTTAAGGAATAATCCCATCTAGGTTGACCAGCAAATGGCATTGTATCAAAGAAAGTTAATCTTCCGACCTCTAACAAATTTGTGTTAAGTGAGGAAATTCAAAGTTCTCTATAAGACTCCCAAGAAGGAAAATGGCTTGGGACAAATGCAGAATCTGAGTTAAGAAACATATTTTCTTTCACTATCTTTGGCAAACCAGTATGAGCTCATGAAAGAAATAGATATATAAGACACTTAGCTCTAACACGTTCTAGGTACTTGGTACCAGTGCAATTATATATGCTGATATCATGACATTACTTGGCAATAAGACTGACCTAAAAAAAAAATTGCTTGCTAATGCATACAACATACCCTAACTCTGAACTTGTCTGAACTTTTCCAGTTCTGACAAAAGTTCCACATAAGACTGATTTTCTATTTTCTTCACTTCAGTAAGATCCCAGCTAGGTAGATAACGGCTATGCTTCACCTTTTTTTTCTCGAACAGCACAGGAGAACTGCACGTCATTTCATTAAGGTAGAGAAAGAATTACAAAGGTCCTGTGATGTGCTAGGATGAGCAGAACATGACTATCATTAACAATTTCAGGCCCAAAACCCCAAATCTAACATCCATATGTCTGCAAGGAAAACTCATCTTACCTTGCCAGTATCTAAAAAAGCCTATAGGTCAGTGTAGTGGGAGGCCTTGATTAATGATCTCTAATCAAGCTTGCATGCTTGCTATCTTTCCTGAAGTAACAGTAGAAATTTAAGGCTCTGGATTTTCCAAAGTCTCATATGCATGAGCTCTCTGAAAACACATTATACAACAAATCTTGATTTACAACAAGTAGTAGTAAGCATTGGCATAGTGCCAAAACATTCTTTAGCCTAATGTCACTTGTAATCTAATTGGTCCAAATCAGACACATCATCAGATCACTCCTTTCAACTCTAGCTGCACAAACATACTACCAAAAGAATACAGAATAGAAGGAATGAACAGCTATTAGTAGTAAGCATCGGCATAGTGCCAAAACATTCTTTAGCCTAATGTCACATCTAATCTTATTGGTCCAAATCAGACACATCATCAGATCATTCCTTTCAACTCTAGCTGCACAGACATACTATCAAAAGAATACAGAATAGAAGGAATAAACAGTGATATGTATAAAAAGAAGGGGAAAAAGAGAGAAACAATGTCCCCGCAACCTAAAGCAAAACATGCATATGCATGTATCAAATCAAAATTCATTGAGACATATCTTCAGCCCATAGTGTTTGAAAAAAATGGCTTTACACGACCAGGATTGGGTTATCTGTTACCTCTCTCCAAATAAAAAAGAGGACCTTCCTCAGTTACATGGAAAAGATCATCAATTGATTAGGAAGATAGACAAATAAGCAGCATGTTCGTTTGGCTGTGGCTTGTCGTAAACGATCGTAAATTTCCAGCCGGAACAGTATTTTTCTCTCACATAAACCAGCCAGCAGTACTTCTTCACGAACCAGCAACGAAACGAACCAGCCAACCGAACAGGCTAAAGATGTCAATGATGGTTGTACAGTTCATCAATAATGGTGATAAAACCTTCTTGTCTAAATGAGTCATGGTATTAGCAGTGGAGAAAAAACAAATCTGTGTTAGTAAGATAGAGAGTAACAACTAACTTATGACTGCCCATCATTTCGGATGGCCATGTGAAAACTAAACTAAATATGAATCATACCTCTTTTATGAATTTGACTTGAATAACAACTTTATAGCTTTGGGACTGTAAAACTGGTGAAAAATCCTGCAGTCTGCAGCAAACACAACATTATATTACAACACTCATGCCAAGACTGGATGCTTTTGTGACAGAACCGTTTAATCTAATGCATTTCAGGAGTATTTGTCTTTCATTAGACACTAAGTACTCAAGTGAAGACACTAAATTACGCAGTTCCGGCGAGCACACTCCAAGGGAGAACCCGAAAATCCACATTTTTCTCTCAGAATCACAAATGAGAGAAATAAGCTTACAACATTTTAACCATTTCTTACATCACTTTTCATGCAACATCATAGTATAATGGCCCCGTTCGCGTGCCCTTAAACCCGGCTTGATCCAATTATTTTTTTATCCGGAACAATGTTTTTCTCTCACAAATTCCTCCAGCATTCCTCCAAACCATCCAGATTCCTCCAGAATTCAGACAAGCGAACATGCCCAATATTTATTGTTTATAATAGCGGAATATGATCATGTTATCAGAGTTTCAGCGAAAATAAAATCATTTAATGACAAGTTAAACATTAACATGATGATCCGTTATATACATCATAACAGGTTATACGTTTTTCTATTGTAAAACATTTTGGGTAGAAGTTTCAAATAAACTCTATGTCTGAGAAATCCTCGCTGAGCCCACCAGGAGGTTTCCACAAAACAAGTATCAGCTTCTCATGTTCCTGTCACCTGCAACAGGATAGAACAAACCCTGAGTACTCAATTGTACTCCGCAAGACTTACTCGTCAGGAGGAAAGAAAAGACTCCAAAGGTATGCAAGACTATCTGGCTTGTGGGTTTATTGCATCTGCAGGAGCATTACTAAACATGCGTCCTTATATTTAATTTTATCAGCAGTCATCATTAGTTCATTAACTAACCATTTTATGTAAGCACCTGCGCTACTTTCAAGCAAGTGGTAAGCAATCAGGACCATTTTACCATCTTTCATCTTCCAGTTCTTACTACGGTGCTAGATTGTAGACAAGTCGTACCGAATTACCCGGCGATTCATGAACCAATGTATCCCAGCTGGGTACCCTGAAACACACGCCCCGCTTGTACCCCTAGCACAAGTAAGACCAACTCACCACTCCCCTGTCAAGGGGTCCAGGTCCCCATCCAAACTTGGACTCCAAGCCCCCACTCCTGAGTTCCGGACTCAGTGTAGTGCTTAGACCTCTACCATCCCCGCCTCCGATCAGTCGGTCCGGAAAGAGCCGGAACCCACGACAAGAGAGCAACGAGTCTTTCCTGCTCCCATAAACAAGTATGTGCTTAGGATAATAAGTCTGTGACCTGACTATAATCCAATGCAATGGCCGGTCCTTAACTGACACAGCTGGAACAAGTGCAATCCGAGCCTCGCTCGAATGTCAAACCAAGTCCAGATCCAAAGTACCATTCCGCTCGGTCTCCAATTATCATTCATATATATTTTTCAGGTGATAATAATATAATAGCAATAATAATATATTTCTTATCTCTCATGAGTGACAGGCAATCACTCGACTTCTACCGAAGTCCTGTAGCATAGCAATCTACACAATCTTGTCATACTAGTAAGACTCATAGGATAAAGATATATATATATATATGCAAGTGGGTTTCATTCAACTCCTTAAACTTAATGCACACGCATAAATTAAAGTGCAGAATAATAGGGGTTATGCACCGGGTCTTGCCTGGGTAAGATATAACCAAAGTTAGCATTCCATCATGGTGACACGATTATCAAGGCACCATCTGCTTCTGTTACTCCCGATGACTCCACGATCCATCGTTGTTCCTATTATGGTATACGTGGAAGCAATGTAGAGGAGTAAATAATCAACTGCAATCGTGACTCGTAAAATACGATTTACGCATCTCAAGCTACCGAGCTAGTTCTAACGACGACCGTACTTAGGCTATGTATCCACATTGTTGAACAAGACGTTATTTCCCACTGAGTGTTTTAGCTATACAAACCCAAGTTGTTTCTTTATTCCATTCTATCGATTTAACATCTATTCGAAATAGGGCATCATTATCTATCTAACAAACTAATTATTCTGGAGCTACAAAAATTACAGTGAGCAGCTAATAATATTAGAAATTTACTGTAAAATTTTTAGAGTCGACACCATCACCATTTTCTCACAAAAATTCCCACAAGTTCACATTTTAACAATACTAAACATTTTAAAATAATTAGTGCAACCCTAGAACATTTTAAAACTAGATGCACCAATTACGCTAACAAATAGATCATGATTTTAAGAGCCTAACAAAATTGGTTTCACAATTTTTGGTTAACTACACAAATTTGTATTGAATTTAGATGTTTGCTTCAGCAACTAAATTCAAAAACATTAATCAACCTTCTGAAAAAGAAAACGGCTCCGCAGCCCGCAAAGGGGTGGCCCGCAAATACGGGTACTGGTTTTAGAGTAATATTAATTATTAGCCCCTTCATCAAAAACACCCCCATTTGCAGGCTTCTACATTGTAAACGCACGCTCACTGTCACTGATGAACTGTAGTAATACATCAAGGGATCTGCTTCTTATAAGACGGCTGCGTGCTTCCAGCCACGCCAAGCTATCCTCAGAAACCTTGATCACGAGAATCCTGCTCATAAGTAAGGCCCTGTTTAGTTCAAAAAAAATTTCAACCCAAAATGTCACATCGAATTTTATGGTTCATGCATGGAACATTAAATGTAGACGAAAAAAAACTAATTGCACAGTTTGGTTGAAAATCGCGAGACGAATCTTTTAAATCTAATTAGTCTATGAAAAGACTTAAGTGCTACAGTAACCCACATGTGTTAATGACTGATTAATTAGTATCATTAGATTCGTCTCGCAGTTTCCTGATGGGTTCTGTAATTTGTTTTTTTATTAGTATCCAAAAACCCCTCCCGACATCCTTCCGACACATCCGATGTGACACCTAAAATTTTTCACCTCACCAACTAAACACCCCCTAAGATAAATTCAAAACAAAACCTAGGGAAATGGAAAAAGCAACCGAAAAGAAAGTTAAGGAATCCACTATCGCAAAGTACAATATATATCGTTTGACCCGATGGAGGAACTGGATAGGAAAAGCAAAAGGAGGCAAAAGAAACATCTACACCCGGCGGCAGCTATCACATGAAATTTTTAGCAAAAAGCAATCTGATAAACTTGCGTGTGAGCCTTTTTTTCTCTGGTTTGATGAAAACGAACCTTTACATTTTAAATCACAAAAGCATTTTAATTATAGATTATAGACAGACTTCTCAGTGTATTACATTTTTTAAATCCAGCTTTGAACATGGATGTGAGTGGCTATGTGAGATTGTTACCTCTGGAGTGAATGTGAGACCAACTTTGATTTCTCCGCGGTATTCTTCATATTTCACAACACTGTAAACAGTTGTAGGGATGCTTCCTTCTATATAAACTGCTTCCAGAGGAATCCTGCAAGAACCGAGCACTCGATTGAAATAAACACTGCAAACGTTAAAATTTGAATCCCAAAACATCTTCAAAACATGCAAACCGCAAGAGGGATGCAAACTACCGTCACTGTACATGGGTTATCACTCAGTAGTTGCAGGTCGGATTGGTCCAGCTACAAGCCTACAAATTACAAAATGTAATTACTTACGTTGCTTCACCAACAAAATCATCATCGGTGCCACTGTCACTATCCAGGAGCTTGATGAATAGCTCTGTAGCGCCATCGGAGACGGTGAACACAAAGGTCTCATTCCATTCAGGTTCAAATCCTTTGCCTGCAGTGTACAAGCAGATCAAGTTACAAATTGCTAGGGAAGCCAAGGGTTGAAGGATACATAGTATTAACATTTAGCACTAAGAAACCATCCACATGGCATAAGGTACAAATTCACAAGTAACTTTTAAAAGAGAGAAATTCACCCGCTGTCCTCAAAGTTGTCCCAAAGCCCCAAAATGTATTTTTGGCTCCCTCAATTCTAACAGGTATGATCCAGTTCTCAACGGGCCCGACCTGCTATCCTATGTGGCATGACAGATGGGACCCACATGTCAGCAGCAAGACCCAACTTAGATAAATCGCATCTTTTTTATACGACCTCAGACGGAGATGATTTTTTATGAAGACTGTAGCTCATATGAAATGGCACCAAATAGAAAATCTGCCTATATTTGTTTTTTATGTGATTGTGTGGACTTGCCAATTTCAAGGTGAAGCTAAAACTCTCAAGCTATTTGTACTGATTTATTCCTCCACTTTTCAGATATTCGTTCACACATTTTGAGCCATGTCCCGCTAATGAAAAAGTTGCATACAGATGCACAATTCTCATAAGAAGCTAAAACTCTGAAGCTATTTGCACTGATTTATCCCTCCACTTTTCAGATATTCGTTCACACATTTTGAGCTACGTCCGCTAATGAAAAGTTGCATATAGATGCACAATTCTCATAAGAACGATTGAGAAAACAGGTTTGTTCCATACATGCACGAAAATAAACTTGGACAATGGTCTCAGTCAAATACCGCAGTCCCAACCCACCATGCTTCCAAAAATGCAACATGCCAAGATACAACGTTAGATTGATTTTGCTACAAAAGCAGAACCTAAACTCTAGACCAAATGACTTGAGTTGAATTAACATTCACCAATCACCATGATCCATGATAGAACCAGTGTGGAGATCTACATGAAACAGAGCCTAAAGTTTTGCAGATCAAATAAGTTGCATTATCCCATGTAAAGTAGCTAACCATAAGTTCCAATTTTTATTATTCAGTGAGCTAATCACATTGATCTCAAATTCTCAATTCAGCCACCAAATCTAGGTCATCATCCTTTTTAGTTGCCTGATCATCTATTTGTCAAAATGAGGCAACGTCCACTGATTAAATTTGGATGATGAGCTAGAGTTGGAAGATGATCAGGCAAATACCATTGTACACCTGCATGCTGATTGTGGTTCTTGAAAAGGCAATCATTGATGAGCACAAATGATAAGGACATATCAAAATATTTAGAATCACGACAATAGAACAATCCATATGACTTTTTATACCTGTTTGAACATGCACCAGAGTTTTATATCCATGAACTCCCATTTCAATACATTGACATTCTCTCAAATATTAATTACTCTTAGTAGCCAATATTTTTAAGGAACAAGAAATAAAATTATTTGCCAATCCAAGGACACCCTATTACATGTATCTTTAATTTGTTAACTGAATCAAAGTGTTGAAATCAAAGCCAATTAATTTCAATAATCCGCTCACACAACGTGAACAATACAAAACAGAAATTCAATTTTTACTCCTATAGCATAATACCAAAGGCACAATATTGATATTATTAATAATGAAGTATGCACGAAATTTAGAAGAACTGAACCTATCTGGGCATTCTATCAAACACATGATACGTAACCTGTTCACGTTCTGCAGCAAATATAAATTCCATGATAAGCTGAACGCAAGACCGAAAATGCGCAGAGATTGGTCAAAAACAATATTCATATCAGCTTCTTTTGCTCAAAAGTTGCAGGCCAAGAAATCATATGCAATCATGTCTGCCAAATTGATTTATCTCAAACAAATCATAGATCGAGCAGGCCAAGGTGGCTTATCTGAAACAAACTTCAGGGCAGGGATTAATCAGATGAAGCAAAGGCACACCTTGGGGAAGGCAACACCGGCGACTGCAGGGGTCGGTGATGACGATGATCTTGTAGACGCGTTGCTGGCCGCCGGTCCTTCTCCTATCCTCCACACGTTCCTATTTGGGTGGATTAGATCAGAAGGGGCACACACCAATGGTAGAAGAGGAGAGATGCACCTACAGGGAAGGCACCACCAGGCGTTAGGTCTTGAGTGTGAGGTCGCCACCACCAAGAGCTAGGTCAAGGCCTCGGGGGTGAGGTCGCCACCACGTCCGTCTCTTACAGGTCCACTGGTTCACTGCCATCAGTGTTGAGGTGGGCCGCCGGTGCTCAGGAGACGCAGATGGAGAGGAAGACGTTGAGGCAACGCGTATCTAGAAGGGGGTCGCAACACGCGTCAATGGAGGAGGCCATGGGCAGCGGTGGCTCGGTCGGATGGATCTGACCGGGGAGGGAGGGGCGCGGCGGCATGGCAGGGAGGAAGAGCGGGCGGTATCCAGCTGTGGGCGGGCGTGGGAGCCGAGCGGGCGCGTGCGGTGGCGGCGCGGTGAGGGTGACGATGGGGCACTGTGGAATGTGGATGCGGAGCTAGGCAGACGAATGACGGGAGCGAGGTTTGTTTCCTTCGAAATCATGGAGCGAGGTTCCTTCCTTTTTAAATTTTGTCGCGAGGCACGAGTATAGGAGGAGGGGTGTGGGATCGTAGGCAGGACGATGACCACGTTAGAATGTTGCACAAAAAAGTGTTCATACTTTATTTTTTTTAATTATAGGATTTTCTCTTTTGATTTTAACTCCAAAAGCAAAATGCTACGCTAGTTAAAACTGAGAAATACCAATATCATATTGGTATAAGGATTTTGGTGAATTCTACACATGTGATCAACGAGAGAAAACAAGAGGGCCTTGCGTGCATGGCGACACCACGCGCTGCTCGGGTTGCATCCAACCATAAGGTAGACCTTTGTTACGTGGACCCCATCCCATGGGCCTTTTCATTCGAGTCGCTTGTTGTTTGTGATGGCATAAGTGGACACACATACATCCACAAGGATGATGATGTGCTTTTGTGGACTATGAAGTATTTTGTCTTCTCTATTTATTGACGGACGCTTGATTTGTTTCTGATGGGTGAGCGTAAGTGTCTACTTTGAAGATACGATCAGATGGATGGATATGGACAAGTCCGATCTCTTGCTTAGGTGGTCTGGTCGTGGATGAATTTGCGGCTACTTTATTAAACACCGTATTTATCTTTTAGTTAGAGTCTTCCATACTAATCCGGAGTCACTTTGGCATTGACTCATGGAATCTCTTATTCGGTTGTTTCATCTTGTCCTTCATATGGACCCAGTGACCCTGTGGATACGCCTATTGGCTAGCTCACGACATTGTCATCATAGGGTGGCATAGTGGCGAATTTAGGAAACCATGTTAGGAGGGCTTCTTCTATTATCTTCCATCTCTAGTCCTTCCTATATAAACTTCCATGGGTACTAATTTGTAAGGGGGGATTAAGATGGGACTCCATGCTTTGAGTAGCGGTAGCGGAGGTTTGAGCCCACTCCGCTCTGGTGCTAGATCCGCCCTTAGGGTGGCCCATCTAAAAATGTTAAGCACCATTTGATAGCGCTCCAAAGGCAGCTCCAAGAGTCATTTCGAGTCGGCACCAACCAAACAGGACATTCGGCCATCGCTCCTTGTTGTTTCTTCCCAATTTTCGCTCTCTAGAGCTGAATGAGATCGAGGAAGCTAAAAAAGTAGCTTCATCTGTCTTTTTGTTGACGAAGGCATTGTGTGTAGTTCAATAAATTACCCACCAGGGTAAAAAAATATATTATTAACACACCGGAGAAAACTAGACAGAAACGGCCCTTTTGGTTTTCTGGTGAATATCATTTTTAATATTTAGTAGACCATATATAAATATTTGGATTTGGACCAGACCAAAGAATGGCCGTCTTTTTCCCTCAAAAAAAAAAAAAGAACGGTCATCTTTTATTTACATACACACATGCGCCTTTTTAAATGGAAAGTATATTATATATATATATATATATATATATATATATATATATATATATATATATATATATATAGAGAGAGAGAGAGAGAGAGATGGGTTTGTGGTCCAACCCCGCGAGACTGGGCTGCGACTGCTATCCCCTCACAATACTGGGCTCAGTTCTCCGGACCCAATCGGGCCAATCTTCACCTAGAAAACTGACCCACTCGTGAGATCCACTGGATCCCGCCCCTATACTGGGCCTCGCCCGTTTCAACCTTAATTTTGTGTGGCTGTGATCGCTTCATCATGGCCTCATCCATCTATGCACAGGTCCAAGCATGAGGATGCATCATGCAAGATATGCATACGCGCATGCTGCGTTGTCGATTTCAGCTGTCGCGTTGCACCGTGCCTGTGATCTCGACCTCAAACCGATCCATCAACGCACGCGCACCGCAGGTTCTTCTCCCGATCCTCGTTTATTTGGTGTGGTAAGGACGTAAGGCAGAGGTTGTGGCGAGGTCGGCGTACTTGGGGTTGGGGGTTTGGGGACCGTGGCGAGCGGCGACCCCGAGTAATGATGTGGTGGCGTTGCGGCTCAGCAGCAGTCAGCGTGAGGGACGGAGGAGGTGTTGTGGCTACCGGGGTCGCAGTTGTACTCGACGCGGGCGGTGTGGTTGTTGCGTCATCGTGCACGGCGGCCGATGTCATCGGTGCAGCCGCGTGGTGTCCAGGTGATGGAGACATGTCGTCGTCGGACAATGGTGCTAAGAGCAGCTCCAGGGTGACCGTCCAACCGAGCGTCAAGCCACGAAGGCAACTGTTCAATCCGCTGCAAGCAAACAAAGCACTACAGTAGTGTGTGGTTCGTTTCACCCGCTTCGACGTCTGTCAAGCCACGATCGAAGGCAACCAGTCAATCCACTGCTAGCGAACAAACCGCTGTTGTAGCATGTGGTTTGTTTTTTCATGCTAAGTTGGACTAGCTTTATAAAAATACGAGCAATACTGATATCTTCAAGTAAATTTATTATAAAAATATATTCAACGAATTATCTAATGATATAAATTATGCACCACGAATATTAATATTTTCTTATATATATTTGGACCGGGGCACGGAGAAAGCAGAGTGTCGTGGTTGTGCTAGGGCCGCGCCTCCCACGAGTCATGGCCTAGGCCCATGGACGTCGTCAATGCGGTCCATGGCCAAGTCCAAGCCTAGATGAGCAGATGTCCATGGCCATGGCCCATGGCGTAGCAGGAGGAGCCGTCCTCCTCACCTCTGGCACCCTCGCCGGCGTCGAAGGAGGAGGGGGACCGATTGAATCGATGGCGGATTTTAGTCCCCTTGTATATAGCTAGTTATATAGTAGGGTTAAGTTTACGGTGGCGCCTGTCAGATGGCCGTCGGTGCTTTTGCTGCTCCTGAACGCCGTTGAAGGATGCAGCGGCGAAGCTACTCGGGGAATAAAGAAAGAGCTTGGCAGATCTGGACTTCTGAGTGATCCAGATCCTGTCGGGTTCTTCTTTTGTCCATCCCTCGTCTTCGTCGGCGTTGGTCTGGCGGAGTTTCTTGGGATGTTGGTTTACCAGCTTGGGAGATCGGGTTGGTTTTTAGATCCCACCTACTCTGGTGGTTTGCATCCCCTTCTGGGTGTCCTCTACACCGGCGTGCTGGGGTTGATGCTGTTCGTGGCGTCATACCCCTTCTACACCGGCGAAGAGATGGTCGTTGGCCACCTTGCTCGGCCTGTTCGTTCAACGACTGCACGGCATGTTGGTTTTCCTGATGTGCTACTCTTGGTGCCATTACAAAACTTTGAAGCTGCTTCATCGGGAAGGTGGTCGACTTCTGGGCGTCTCCTCCGGCCGCCG